CAGGGTCAGAAGAGCTGGGACAGGAAGATGCTACTCTTTTGAAAACGCACAGAGCATGTTTACAAACCTGTAAATATACCTGCACGGTCCTGAGTGCCTGCAGGTATGGTCTCCACTGCACCTACCTTTGTCATTAATCCTGTCACCTACCAAGCGATGACATAGAATTACCACGTGGTGGCGCTGTCTGCCAACCACTGTTTGCCTGCCAACACTCCCGACTCCCACCATCTCTCAGTAATTTGACTCTCACCATCTCTCAGTAATGGGGGAAGGCCAGCAGTGCATGGGAAGACTGGAACGAAAGCTTTAAGAGGAGCTGCCTACAGACTACTCTAGAATCCCAAGCAAGGTGGTTTGATGGGTTCAAGAGAAGGGCTTGTTTGCATACAATACAATCGAGAGCTCAGTCTGCTATTGCAAATAAACAACAGCACAAGCATTTACTTCTAATTCTGCTGAAGTGACTGAAGAAGTGACTGAAGGGTGAGTGGGGCGGGGGGAAGTGGGATGAGGAGAGTGTGTGCTATTCTGCAGGGAAAGGCGTGGGAGTGGTGGGATCCAGATGATAAAGTACCTCCTCCGCTAGGCACCTTCCTGACTCCCCACGCTGGGGGGTTCCACTTCTCAGGCCCAAGGCCGCTCTCCAGGGAGACCAGGCTGGACTCTGGCTGCCCTGGGGAGGGGCGAGACCCAGGTCAGTGGGCAGGGAGGAGGTCAAGGTCGGCAGCCTTGAGGAAGGGAGTCCTCCCAGAACCCTCCAGAAGCCGGAGAGCTGGTCCCTGCTGCAGGCGGGCGGGGGGCACCCTCAGGGCAGCGTGCGGCTGGAGGCAGCTATGGCAGCTTGCTTCTTGCAAGACGCTTGAGTGAACAGTAAGGAAAAAGTCTTATTTCAGCGCTCTAAGGCCCCTCCCTCCACAGCCACGTCTCCCCTTAACTTCTCTACGCAGAAGGTGCAAACCTGTTTTCACATGCACACTGGAACCAAAGTGGGGTCTCCTTGGACACAGAGGCACCCGGCTGCCATAGGGCTCACGTGTGCAGGAACACGCATCCCTGGCTAACATGGTCTAATGACCAGCAAACTGTGTCTGTTGCCATCTTCGTCTCTAAACAAATAGCTGCTCAGTGGCTAATGGCTGCTGTCTTAAATGGTTGTTAATATATTAACACCCATATTGGTTTTTAGCCGGGCAAATGGATGTGTCTGACTTACTCTTAGATCTGGGAGACAAATATATACTTTAAAATTTAAAGTATAAAATTTAATGCCCATCTGGTGTGGCTCAGTGGTTGAGCATCGACCTATGTATGAACCAGGAGGTCATGGTTCGATTCCCAGTCAGGGCACATGCCCCAGGTTGCAGGCTCCATCCCCAGTAGGAGGCAGCCATTCAGTGATTCTCTCTCACCATCGATGTTTCTATCCCTCTCTCTCTCTCCCTTCCTCTCTGAAATCAATAAAAATACATAATAGAAACGTATTTTAAGGTCCCCACACATCACTAATGAGCTATCTTGGGTCCAAATGCAGGCGGGTCTACCCAGCACTCTTCCCGGTGTGTCTGGTGCTGGAGAGCATGCGCTGGCTGGGCCCCGGGCAGGACACACGCCCAGGCGTATGGTGGAGGTGTGCTTTGTGGATCGTCCATGGCACTCGGCGAGGTCAGAGCCCCCCGGGGACACTTAGCCTGCTCCAGATGCCTGCTGCCCCTGGCGGTCAGGGCGTGGCCATGGACCACACACGCTTAGTGAAAGCTTAAACAGGCAGCAACGCATGAAGCCAAGTGCATCGGCACCGGTAACCTTGCCCTCCCTGCGGGTGTGAGTTATGCCCACCGCTGAGCTGAGCGAGCGCTGAGGACAGGCTCCTTTCTGGGAAACATGTCCCCCGGGGGCAATGACACTTCAGAAAGGAAACATCTCTGCGGCAGCCATCTCCCCGGGGACACGCGGCCTGAAGCAGCTCTTTGTAGTGAGACCAGAAGGCGTGCGAGGGCCCAGATCAGAGAGAAGCAGACTGCAGTTCCCGTGCACCGAGGCCGCCCTTTGCTGGCTGAGCTTCTTCATCCCTCGGGGGCGGTGGCCTGGGAACGAGGCCCTCACACAAGCTCTCTAATGAGGAAGGAAGGTGGCAGGAGAGGAAGAGGGTGCTGGCGAGGGCTCCAGAAAGGGGACGTAACAGCATCTGACCACGAGGGGGCAGCAGCCACACACAGTACCCGCTGGGGCCCTACCTGTCCTCTTTCCTTCCTAGATGATGTCCCTTCTGCTCTTCTCCTGTCCTGCTAGCGGGTGAGGCCACAGGTGAGAGAAGAGCCCCTCCCGATTCCAGAGGCACAGGAAACGGAAGGACTTTGTAGAGAAGACTCATGCTGCCAGCACGTTTGATGACTCGGAACTAGCACTATGGGCCGCGTCCGCCCGATTAGGGGTCTCCACGCTTTTTCTGTAAAGGGCCAGATGGCAGCTCTTTCCAGCTCCAGCCTTCAGAGGCGGTGGCAGCTACGCAACGCGGCCATCGCCGCACACGCACACGGGGGAGGGCGGTGGGGGGCTGCAGACAATGGGGAAATGATGGGTGCGGCTGTGTTTTAACAAAACTTCATTTACAAAGACGGTGCTGGGCCGACGTCAGCCCACGGACCACAGGCGGCAGACCCCACAGTAAAGGGACAGGCCATCTCACCAGCCCAGTGGCTTGGTCCACGTGGACCCTGGGCACCTGCTGGGTGACTCTTTTCTTCTCCCAAAGCCACACAAATCCATGTTTCCTCTCCTCTCCGCCCTTCCACGGCACCACGGGATTACCTGTTTCCCAGGTGCCTGAGCGTGAATTCTCCCTTCTGCACAAAACCAGCTGACACAGGCCATCGGCAGGTTCTGCATTTAAACCCTCTTCCTGCCATCAGCCCCTCCTCGTCCCCACCCTTGTCACACCCATCTTCCCAGGGGGGCCGAAACACCGGGGGTAGTAATAACGTTCCCCCGCTGGTCCATGTCCCTCCCCTCCCCCAATTCATTCCATGGGAGTCAGTGCCTAAATCATCTCTTGGGCTTTGTCATTTCCCCACCACGGATGCCAATCCCCACCCCCGCCTTCCTTTCCACAAGGCGCCGTGGGAACTCCGTCTCGGTGACGCGTCTATCCACCGGCCCTGGCAATGCCTTCGGACCTCCCTGCTCACCCATTACCTGCCCTCAGCGCCCCACCTGTCCCAGCTGACTGCCCCACTCTCCCGATGAAACGCGCCCCCTCCGAGAAATGCCCCGAGACAGGGGAGAGCTTGCCCGGCGTCCACTGGCTCCTTGGATGATTTGGTGTGAATCCCTCCCTTGAAGCTTAAGCTGCGCTCATCTGGGGGGTGCCTGTGGGGTAGGCTTCCCACTGACAAACCATTCGGGCTCTCTCATGTTATCAATGGTCAATGGTGTCACAGGGAAATCAGAGACCGTGGCTGGCACGTCACGACGCGGGGCTGTTCTGACTTCTTCTGGGCTCACTGCTCCGATCCATTTAGAGAACACGCACACGCGTGCGTAAGAAGGAGGGAAGTTCCCGGCGGCTGGGCTGGGGGACGACCGATGCCCAGTCGGTACATCATGTTCGTTTTCATGGGTCTGATGGGAGTGAGAGGGGGCACGGCCCTCAGTCCTGCTGACGGAGGCGCTTCCTGACGCGTCTTCCTGTCATTCCAGCGTCCCTCTTCAGCCGTCTGAGCGTGTTGCTAGGCGCTCGGGGACGCAGTGTCATTATATCATCTCCCGTCTCCCGTCACTGAGAACTGACCTTTATTCTTTAGGTGGCTTTCCGCCTCCAGGTCTGGCTTGTCTGATGCTAAAATTGCAATCCCTGCTTCCTCTGCATCAGCGTTCACCTGGCATCCTTTGTCCCTTTATTTTTAACCTCCCCACTTCCTTGTCCCATGCGACTGGGACTTTAAAAGTAAAACCTATCATCTCTCTTAAAGGACATGCTTAGTCATCCGATGACTTTGTTTCTATACCCCTCCCCCAGCAGTTAGACAGTCTGTCTTTCTTTCCTTTCCTTTCCTTCCCTCCCTCCTCCCTCCCCGCTCTCCCACCCTTCCTCCTCCCCTTCTCCTTCCCTCCCTCCCTTCTACCCTGCAGTCCACATCCACCCTCGAAACCAGGCCTGTATCTCAAGCTGAGGGCAGAGTAATCTTACGTTTTACCGACCAAGAGTAAGACCACAGGCGTTCGCAAAGGAAGAGCACACATTACGAACTCGCCGTGGATTTGTAAGTGAGGCAAACGGGCTGAGGGTAGGTCTGCTAGGGGAGGCCTCTTTTCTGTCCGCGCCTGTGCTACAGGGAGCCCCCCTCCCCCAGGACCTCTGGAGACAGTGAGGGCGATGACATTCACAGCTGTGACAGCGGTGGCGTGTGATGGCAGGAAAATCCCCCAGGGACGCTGTTTAGCAGAGGTTTGTGAGGCTGTATACACAGAGGCCTGCTGCCCCGTCCAGTCCCCATCCTGTCCCCATCAAGGGAAGGCAGAGCTGGGTGGAGAGGCTTTTGACATCAGAGTTGACGTCTCGATGTCATGGGACATGAGGTGCCACCAGATAGGAAGCCCGGCCTGAGCAGTGGGTGTGCCCAGGGCACCGATTGTGTGGCTCCTCACCCCCTGGACATGGCCGGACTCAGGCTCATCATGTTCTAACCGAAGCCAACGTCACAGGCTGTGCCACAGGACAAGGAGCCGACTCCTCGCCCCATGCCTGGTGCTGGAGAACAGCCACAGGCACCGCGATCGTCATGAGCCCTGGACCTGGGTGACGTTTCTCACACACTGAAGGCCCCTCCCACCTCCCGTCTCATCAGAGCTTCTCCCTGGGCATCAGGTGAAGGGGGACGCTGGCGGTGGGGGGAGGAACACCCCGGGAGTCCCACAGGCGGAACAAGAGGCTGAGGACAGAAACTTCCAACCAAGGACACACCGGCGCACACGCGTTTGGGGCAGCAGGTGTGGCCTACCTGGCGCTCTCAAAGGTGGCGGACGCCGTCTTCTCCACAGCTCCGAACCCAACGCCAACAGCGAGGCCCTCTGAAACAGACACGAGAAGAGCGTGCGGGGTTAGGGACGGTCTTCCACTCATGCTCACTGCCGTCACTGGCAGCTTGGGGGCACCAGGCCCCCCAAAATCCACACGGCGGGAGCCTAAACCGGGTCAGCGGCCAAAGGCCTGGGCCGAGTCTAGCTCACCGCTTGTTTGTGTAGGGCCTGGAGGCCAAGAACAAGCTTTACATTTTGAAGTCGGTGAAAAAAAGATCAAAGGAAGAATATTTCACGACCCAGAAAAATGACATGATCTTAGTGTTTTATTGGCACACAGCAGTTGGCGAGTTGTCCGTGGCTAGTTCCATGCTCCATCAGCAGACATGAGTAGTGGGGACAGGGACCGTATGGACCGGTGACCTGAAGTATTTACCACCTGGCCCTTGATGGAAAGAGCTTGATGACCCCTGACCTGGACATGCAGGGTTTTCTTAGCTCATGAGCAAGATGCCCGAGGGTGACACGGTGGCGGATGAAGTCATCTGAGCCACCCTCAGACGGCGGAGACTGTCACCGTTGGAGGAGGTGTGGCTGGGGATGGACAAGAGGACGCGCCGAGTCCTGTCCGGTGGGACTTGTGCGCCTGCCGAGCTCACCAACACCCTGGCTGGGACCGAATGTGGAGCACGTTCCCGATGGAGGGGTCAAGGCTATGGAGAAGCAGGGACCCATCCCAGGGGCCTGGGGCCAGTGGGCAGAAAGCATGGAGGACACTTCCTGACCCCACGGGGAGCGCCGCCTCCATCTAACAGGAAGCAGAAGGCTCTGGGGGCCAGGGAACCTTGCAGTGAAGAGGGAAGAGGGCAAAACCGACTGAGTGAGCACCCTCCCTACGGGTCCGGGTCCGAGGGCAGGGACGGAGGCTTGAGAGCCCAGCGGGGGTGGGGGGG